AGAATATTGTTGTTATTGCAGGATTGTGTATGTTATAGCATTTACCTCTGTTACCTTTAACAGTTGGGCTCCTCCCAGTGTCTTCCACTGCCTTGATCATTTTGTGCTGACCTTCCCCTTATTGCACATCGCCTTTCCCTTCACCCAACATGTCTACCCTCTAGTTAATGATTTATCCTCCCTTTGCTCCCCTCCCCCCTCAACCCAAACTTCAAAGAATGTTTCTTTCTGTGTGCAAACCTTTTCTGGACTTTTTATGGTAGTGGTTTTATACAATATTTGTCCTTTTGTGATTGACTTGTTTCACTCAGCATAATGTCCTCTGAGTTCATCCATGTTATGAGGTGTTTCACAGATTCCTTGTTCTTCAACACTGAGTAGTATTCCATTGTGTGTATGTACCACAGTTTGCTTATCCATTCATCACTGATAGGCATTTTGGTTATTTCCATATTTTTGCTATTGTGAATAATGCTGCAATGAACATAGGTATGCATATACGTATTTATGTCACATCTCTCATTTCTCTAAGATATATACCAGTAATGGGGTAGCTGGATCAAATGATGTTCCTAACTTTTTAAGGATGCACCATACCATTTTTCATAGTGGTTGTATGATTTTACAGTCCCACCAGTGGTGTAGGAGAGTTCCAATCTCTCTGTACCCTTTGTTTTTTTTTTTTCATCTTTGCTATTATTGCTGGGTTAAGATGGTGTCCCACTGTTGTTTTGATTTGCATCTCTGGCATTGTGCCTAAGGCATTTGACTGCTAACCAGAAGGCTGGTGGTTCAAACCTACTAGCTACTCTTCGGAAGGAAGGTTGGGCAATCTACTTCCATGATGATATCACCTTGGAAATCCAAGGAGGGCTCACTATGAGTCAGATCTGACTCAATGGCAGTAAGTTTGTCTTTTGGTTTTAATGGCTAACGATGGTGGCAGTTCTTCATGTGTTTGTTGGCTGCCTGAATGTCTTCTTTGGTAAAATGTCTGTTCATAGCCACTGCCCATTTTTTAAAATTGGATTGTTTGTCTTTTTTTGAGCAATATTTTTGCTTTATAACTTAAACTATGACTTTTAAATAAAATATCATCTAAAACACTTAGCTGTTAGCATACTCTTGAAATGCATGCAAAATAAAAAATCATTTATTTTCCTCTGCTATTTTGAAGCAATTTTTGTTGGGTTGAGGGTGTAAGTTTCAGGATATAATATAGTTTGCCAAATTCTGTCATCCTTTTTTTTTTTTTTTTAATGTCATATGGGGTGTGGTGCCTTTAGAGAACTGGAAAAAAAAGTTACAACTCTTGCTGTTTTTCTCCTTTATTTTTTCAAAAATGGCAAAATAATCTAAACCTCTAGGGAAATTTTTGTTCCTTCTACATGGACTTCTACATAGTTTCATCACAATTAGAAGTCAGATGATTCCCTATAAACAGTTCTTACTTCCTTCCTAGAGTGTTTGTGCTCTTAGCATTGTGAACTCATTATGAGAAATGAAGTCTTGATAAGTATTACTTTAATCCTTTTTTTTTTTTTTGCCTGAGAAAGGTGAAAATGATTTGGAAGGAACAACAAAATGAGGTATTAAAACTGTTGTAGCTCCATAGAGTGGTGTGGTGTGGTTGTTTACAATGATCAATTGTCTGTTGAATCCAGTTTGTTCTTGTTATTCCTTTATTAGCCCCTGGTTATTGGGAAGCACTTACAATAAATGTTTAAATTCATATTTTTTCTGTATTTAAATAAAGGAAAGCCTTGATTCCACAAGGCTGAAATTTTTCTTCTTAGAAAAACAAATAATCTGTAAAACTTAATTCTTCAATACTACAGAAAGAAATTGTTGGAAAAACTCTTTTAAGGGCAGAGAGATGCCAGCAAAGGAATACCATTTTTAGAACCCAACATGAGATGTTGGGATTTGATGACTCTTGTCTGCCTTCATTATTTGACATATTCGTTCTTATTAACAATTCACTCACAAATCACTTGCCTAAACACATTTCTAAATTTCTTCACAGAAACTATCTCCCTGGTCATTCCCATGCACCAGTAAAAACAAAAGAATCAACTGAAATGTGTGTGGGTATTTGTGAATGTGTGTGTGTGTGTGCTTAAAAAAGAGAACGAGAGCAATCAGTTAAAATAATGATAAGATCCTTTTTCTAATTTCTCTTCCTTCTCCTTGGAGCTGGACGTTTGAAGGAGATAGAAATAAAGTAGGAACCTCAGCTTTTCCTGGAACCAGCAAGGAGTGATATATTTTATTTAAAAGCAACTAGGGGAAAACACTTCCCAACGCGAAGTTCAAAACCTTGCCAGTGAATCGGTCACGTAGCCAGGCTTCACTTGGGTACCACTCAGCGAGGGTTTCCTCTTGTCACCCTTTTCCCCGCAGACCCTGCGGCTGAGGTGTGAGGAGGGCTGTGGGTCCCAGGGTGCCAAGGGACTAGACGCCCTCCCGCGGGGAGAGGAGGAGGCGGTTCTGGCCTCGGAGCCGCCCCTCGTGCCGCCCGAGAACAAACGGGATATTCAGCAGTGGCCTGTGGCTGCCAGAGCAACTCCTCAGGGGAAATTAAGCGTCGAGTCAGAATGCACCAAAATCGCCTTTAAAAGCGCCCCTACCCCGCCTGCCGCGCACACCCGGCTACCTGGGCTGCCCCGCCACTCTGTGTGTGTGTGTGTCTGTGTGTCTGTGTGTCTAAGAGAGAGCAAACTGGTGTTTGAGACAGTGTTTATGCCGGTGTGAAAGCCAGTGTGTGAGCCTGGGTGGGTGCAAGACCAGTGTGTGAGCCTGTGTGCGCGGCCGCGTGCGCGCCGGGGGGTGCAAACCCTGAGCGTCTACACTGGCCATGAGGGACGCGAGTGCCTGGGCCCCGCTCTGCCTGCTGTTGGCCGCTGCAGCCCAGCTCGCGCTGCAGCAGCCTCCGGAAAGGTAACGCAACCCAAGTGCAGGCACCCTCCCTTCTTGCCTCTCTTCCAGCAGCCGCCTTCTCTGCTTTTCTCAATCCGCTTCAGGGCACCCCTGTGACTCAGCTCAGCTCACCCCGTGGTTAGACCCCTCGGTCCCCGTGTGCTTTCCTCGTGGGATCCCAGGCTTGCGCCTGCCTGCGGGGCTGCCTCCTGCGCCTCCAGCTCAGCGAGGCGGGTGGCCCTGGAGCAGGCCTGGCCACCACGTGGCGGGGGCTTAATATGACTTGCTTTTCCCCACCCGAAATGCTTAAGAGGGCCGGAGAAGCACTAGAGACCGAATTTAAGGACTCTGGTTTACTTTTGTTTACTTTTCGCCAAAGAGAGGCTTTGCCTAGGAACTTAAGCCCAGAGAAGAAGCCGAGTCGCCCGGCGCCCAGGGAGCGGCTCCCAGAAAGTTAACTCTTCGCCAGCCTCCGAGCTGCTATGCGGCTCTTGGAGCGAATAGGGGAATCCGTCTCATTGCCAGCTCTTCTTCCACCTCCATCGCAATCAATTGCCTTTTTCAATGAGAAGCTTTGGTAAAGATGAACGATTTTCAGAAATAGGCGGAGAGGTGGTCATCCCTTCAAAGTTGTGAACTTAAAACTTTTTATGTTAACCAATTTCTTGTGGACTTTAAAACCTTGCGCCTCACACACTTAGTTCTTAGCTTCTCCCCGACTACCACCAGTTAAATGGATCTACTTACCAATTTCCTATAAGGCAATTTCCATTACTACCACCTGGGCCACTTGATTGTGTATTTGTGTGTGTGTGAGAGCGCGCACGTACCTAAGGAGCTCTGATGGCGCAGCGATTAAAACATTTGGCTGCTAACCACAAGGTGGGCTGTTCAAACCCACCAGCCCCTCTATTGGAGGAAGAAGAGGCAGTCTGCTTCCCTAAAGATTTGCAGCCTTAGAAACTTTGGGGAGCAGCGACAGTTCTACTCTATCCTACAGGGTCTCTAAGACTGTGAATCGACTCCAAAGCAGTGGGTATGGTTTTCTTTTTTTATATGTATGTATATGTGTACATACATATGTATTACATACATCACACATGGGGTGACCATGAGTCGTAATCCACTGGTGGTCAACTAGCAGATATATACACACACATATATACACATGCACATACATACACCCATATATATATACACACACGCATCTACATACACACATATATAATCTTGTATTGTTATGATGGAGACAGATAGCAGATGGAGTGAATATTTTATCAGGCTGAATTTAAATATTCTAAGAGCTAAAGGAGCTCTGGTGACATAGTGCCTAAAGCACTTGACTGCTAACCAGAAGTCTGGAGGTTCAAACCCATCAGCCACTCCTGGAAGGAAGGTTGGGCAATCTACTTCCACAGTGATACTGCCTGGGAACCCAAGGGGGTCGCTATGAGTCGGATCCTACTCAAGGGCAAAACACAACAACAAGAGCTAGCAAAGCTTCAGAACCCTTATACATTGTAGATATTTGGTAATCAATATTAATTTTCTGAAGTTGACGTTAGATTGCTAGACTATGTTACAGCATTTTTTTTTTTTTTCCCCAGACCTGTTTTCACATGTGGCGGCATTTTTACTGGAGAGTCTGGATTTATTGGCAGTGAAGGTTTTCCTGGAGTGTACCCTCCAAATAGCAAATGTACTTGGAAAATCACAGTAAGCATTTTTTAAAAAGGTATTCTCCTCGAAGTGGGTATTGGAAACAGTGGAAGGCTGCTGCTCTTTTTCCTTCGTATCAGGATTTGGGTTGCGGCAAATGCCTGAAATAGTGAAATGTTGGAGTTAACTCAACTATTCTGGCGATTTTTATTAATAGAACTAGTGGTGTCCTGCATTAGGGATTCAAAAGGGCACAAGATAGTGCTTGAAGGAATAAATTCTTAAAACAGATGTGTTTCTAAAAGCCTAGTTTGACTCAGTTTAGTTTTATGGATTAAAAATTAAGGCCATTTGCAGTCAAAGGCTTGTTGTAATGACCTTTAGAAGCTATTTGTTGCCTGCATCTTGCATAAATGTGTCCCACTGGGGAATAAAGAATCAAAGGTAGTTCTTACCCTTGACTACTTTATATCCATTAAGGGAAAAAAAAAAAAAAGAAAGAAAGAAAAAGAGAAAAATCCCACTTAATGTCCTTGGGTTGCAACCACCACTAAAGGCAATCTAACATTAAAGAGTAAAAATAATCAAAATAAATAAATAAAGCCCAAATAGCAAACCAGGGCTAAAATGCTAGTTATTAATGGCATAGATTATGCTGAGTCAAAATAAGAACCCAAAATGGAGACAGCCAGCTAAAAGAAAAAAAATGCCTGAATTTAGAGTCAGCTAGATTGAGTCATCTTTCCAGTCAGTATAGCAGTGACACTTCACCTTATTTTTAAATTCTGAGAAGCTGTTTGGTAATTAGACACATTGGTTCATGGAGACCTTCATTCAGTCAGATTATGTCATCTACTGATGATGACTTTAAAAAATAGCTACCATATTATTGAGCATTTACTACGTGCAATGCAATTAAAAAGCATAATCACACTGAATCCTTGAAACGACATTATCTCCATTTTATGGATGAAGAAGCTGAGACTTAGAACAATTTTGTAAATTGACCAACTCAAACAGTTGGTAAGCCCAGCTTTTATGCAAGACTAAATGTATTTTTCAAAGAGCCATTCCCACCAAGAAGATTCATATGGCAAATACACTCCTCTCCCATAATGTAGAACTTTGCTCTTATATGCACTGATGCCCTCCTATAAAATTGATGAGTTGGTACAGTTTTCATTATGTTAATGTAGAACACAGAGAAAGGAGGAATGAGTCATAGAACACAGTTTTGATATATCGATAGTAGCGTGCATGTGAGATAAAGCTCTGAAATGAACATAAAAGTAATTTGCTTTTAATATTATAGTTGTTTTAATTGTAATTCAGTGGCTCTAAATTAAAAATAAGAAAAGGATGTTAAAGACTGAGAGGTATTATGTGTCTAACAAGTAGAAATTCATGGTTGGCTGTGTGTTTGGATATTGCACGTCAGTACTGTTTGTTTGTTTGTTTGTTTGTTTTAACCTGGTATATGTCTAACTTCACAAGGTGGAGGAGAAAGAATCAAGATTAAAATAAATCTATAGAACCCTAATAATACATATGGAAAGCTGTGGGGCCCAAAGCTGATTCCTATGAGGTTAAACCTACCTTCATCCACCAAACTTTTTACCAATTCTTATACCAGCTGTCCCTCTCATGGTACTCTCTACTTCTCTGCTGGGTTCTATAATTAATTGCAATGACCACACACAACTCGCCGACCATACTCACAGTAACGGAGTTTATTAGAAAAGCAACTCTATTAGGAACTCTATTAGGAACAACTCAGTTCTTCAGTCAGAATAGCTTCACAGCAATGGCCACAGGCAGGCCTTTCTCTGGCCTTCTACCTCTTGGCACTTGGCCTCTGCCCTGCTTGGGCAAGTGTTACTAAGCTCTTTAGCCTCTTCGACAAGTGCCTGAAGACTTCACCAAGCAGACTCCTGCCTGAAGGCACTCGGTTCTATCATTCTGTGGGTTGGCACATCCACTGTAGCTGCCTGGCTCCATGTGCCAGGAGGCCCACTGCACCATCTTGCGCTGCTTTCCTGGTTCTGTTGCTGCCATTTCTCGGCCATCATTGTTGTCTCTTCTTGCTGTCTCCAGTGTAACATCAAAGATGTGAAAAATATGGGAAACTGTTCACTATAGGTTATTAAGTAAATGCAAGTAAACCTGTGTTACCTTGATCACTGGGTACTCTGTCCTTGTCAGTTTTATATTTGAAAAGAGGCTTTGCTTCTGTAGGAAAGTGCTGCTGGGTTGGGAGAGAGAAAGATGCCAGCCATAACTAGAGGCAAAATCTTTGATGTGGTGGGAAAAGGTGAAATTGTTCACTACAGATTAGTAAATAAGCACAACTAAGCCCATGCTTACCTTGCTAAATGGGTAATCCTATATTCCATGGTAGGAGCTCTGGTAGCATAGTGCCTAAGGCATTTGATTGCTAACCAGAAGGCTGGTGCTTCAAACCCACCAGCCACTCCTCAGAAGGAAGATGGGGCAATCTACTTCTGTAGTGATACTGCCTCGGAAACCCAAGGAGGGATCGCTATGAGTTGGGTCCTACTCGACGGCACATAACAACAACAGCACATTTCATGCTACTTAATGTCCCAGATGACTGTTCAAGTTCCAGCCATCATGTCCACATTCCAGCGAGCAAAAAGGAAGAAGAGAAAAAGGACATGCATCCTCCTTTTAAGGAAAATGTGGAGAAATTGCATACAATTGGCTGCTTACATTTTATTGGCTGGTTCTTAGATATGGTCATGCCTAGCTGTAAGAAAGCTGAGAAATGAAGGCTTTATTTCAGATGGCCATGTGCTGTGCTAAAATTCAGATCATCTGTCACTGTGGAAGAAAGGGAAAACCAGTAGATGATGAGCAGTGTCTGTGACATATTCATTTGTGGTTTGCCAGAATGCCTGGACTAAAATTTATGACATTAGAATGAGTTACAATTGTTAGCCTTTCTCGAAAATATATATTTTTGGAAAGCTAAGTAATACAGAAGAAAGGACTGCACAATTTGCTTTTTAAAGGTTTTTATAGTTTTCACTCTTAGCCAGTTGTGTTTATTCTAGCTCTAGGGGATGCTTCTTTTATTTTTGCACCTGAGTAGCTACCAAGAACTTCCAGAGGTGTCCAGCACATTCTCTTGGTTAGAATTACAGCCTTGGCAGAATGTTCGCAAAGGCCCTGGGTGCTTGCACAGTCTCAGTTCAACATCTTTATTTCTTTGTATTAAAGGAATGGGCACAAAGTCATTTCAAGTGTGCACTTCAATGATTTTCAAGAAATTTACCAAGTTGCTCAACCATCACCATAAATGGGTTTTAAAACATTTCCATCCATAGATAGGTGGACAGTCTAAATGATTAAGTATGTCTATGAAAGAGGGAGTGTATCCAAGATCATATATAGGGTTGACAGACAATGGCCCTATAAGTTTATGTGAATGATCAGAATCCCCAGGGGGGATTGCCCAGAGCTGACAAGGGGCAAGGTTGTGGTCACTGCTTGGTCACAGCCCACTACCCAGAGCGACCGAGTAGTTGATCCTGCAGGCTTGGGACCATAGTCGCAGGGGACATCAAGCTCAATTGGCATAACATACTATACAAAACATTGTTCCACCTC